TGGGTGGTGGTGTGTGTGGAGAGAGAGAGAGAGAGAGAGAGAGAGAAAATAAATAAATAAGTGAATGTTCGGCTTTTTTTATGTCACTTCCAGACAATCATTCCCAACCCCACTAACTCTGTGCCCACAAACCCTCACAGAAGGGATTTTAACCAGGTGCAGTGTTCCTGCCCACAGTAGCATGGCTTTTGCAGAAACTGTACTGGCAGCAGGGGATAGGCAGAGAAAAAGTCCATAGGGGTTAATCCTCTACTGGCCTGAGGGTTCTCTTCCGTTCAGATCCCAGCCTCATGTGTGGTTCCCAAGTAAATAGTCACTTTAGGAAGATTTACAGGCAGTTCTATGTTACTGATCTTATGGAGGCCCTGGTGGATATACTCAAAGGAGGGAACAATTTGACTGTCAGTTACATAGGTTCATGAAAATGACTGTCTACACTTCTGCATTCCCTATTTATACCTTAAGAATCAATTATTTACCTTTTAACTTCAACAGCAACACAGGAACATCCCGATCAGAGCTTTCAGTGACCTGAGCGGCCAGTGCCAAAATTCTGGAATCCACAGCTGCTGGCTTCATTTTATATGGGTCAGCTATATTTTAATAAAAGAAGTCAGTAAACAAAAGCAGCTAAGCACAAAACTTTTTAACATGCAGTGCTTTGTAGCTAATATATATCATACCTAGAGTTGTTTACCAAAGGGAGGATCAGTAATGACATTGTGCACAGACGAGGTACTAGTAAATCTGCATTTGGTATGTATGCACACAGGGCATATTTGATTCACAGGGGTTCTTATAGGATTTTTGGGCAGGGGCATGGTGGAGAACAGGAACAACGAAGAAACAAGATTGAGCTTTTATCTCATCCTCCTAAGACTGTCCTGCTAATCAAACTTTGACATATTTGAAGGAGGACAAAAATCACTGGGAAAAGCAAATGTATTCTGAGCTTCTAACAGGCTATGTCTACACATGCATAGTTCATTATTATTGATAGCAGTTATGTTATAGAACACAACGGACTCCCAAGACAATGCAATAAAATGAGAATGTTAAAACTGTTTGGGACACGGTTAAGTTCACAGTAACTTTCAGCACAGCTTGCCCTTCCTTCATCATGGGGACTGAGTGGCACAAATGGGGACAGGTGCTACTTAAGAATTTGTTCTCTTAAAATGGATGAATATTGGCACTTGTCCATAAAAAAATTAAGTGAAGGAGGACAATCTTACGGTTAAGGAACTGAGTGGGGATTCAGGGGATCTGAGAATTCCTAGCTCTGCGAGAGAGGTCCTGTGTAACTTTCAGCAAATAATTTAATCTCTCTGTGTCTCAGTTCCCAGCTATAAAACAGGATGAATACTTCCTTTCTCCCACCCTTTATCTATTTTATTTAGATAGAGAGAACTGCATTAGCTTAGGCTGCAAGCCTCTTTGGTGCATGGACTGTCTCTTAATATGTGTTTGTACAATGTCGAGCACATTTGGGGCCTGGAGATGTGTGGGGTCTTGAAGCACTACTGTAATAAAAATAATGACTGTTCTGATGCAAGGAAAATGTGGATTAGATTAATGTTAGGTTAAGCCTCTTGCACTTTTTTAAAATAAATGTCCTGTTATTTTGGGGCTGCGGTCATTGAGAGGTATGGCTTTGTTCCATGAAAAACTGGCTTTATAAATACATTAGAGGTAGGAACACATCTCAAAGAAACAAGCAAAATGGCTTCTGTCTCCTTTCAGCACCTTGCTCCAAACAAACATCTCTCCCTGAGGAAAAAAACAAATAAAATCCACCCTCTTCTTTATCATGTCTGTACTAGAAAAAAAGAAAAAGAAAGTTCCTGGCAACTGTGGGAACAGAACTCAGATCATCCTTATCCAAAAATATGAATGAGAATCTGCCTTACTGCCAGCAACTGGGTAGTTGTCTAGGACACACATTTGGACAATTTTGGCTCTATTCCATACAAAACAGTGGTGACACACGCACACTTAGCCAACTCATTACATTAAAAAAAAGCGGTAACTGGCAAAACAATGATTCTACAGAAATAAAATTTTAAAAAGGAACCTTTAGCATTGCAGGTTTATTGTGGGGAAAACTAAAAATAAGATAATGTCTCAAGTCAGGAACGCATGTAAGGCTGAGATCCTCAAAGGTATTTAGGTGCCTACGGCTCAATTCCTCAAAGTTAGGCTCCTAACTACCTTTAATGATCTGGCCCTAAGTCTTTAGAAACGCTCCTATGTCGGCAGCACATTTCCACCTTCACCTTTCAATAGACAACCAGTGGGGCATGTCGGTGTCAGCCCGCCTTAGGCGAGGGCAACTCCAATGGATGGCTTGGCTCTCACAACTCCTGCGGCCAGGCTCCCAATGGAGGGGCCCGAGGTGAAATCTCCACCAACCCCTACCCTGGGATCAGACGCAGCTTGGCCTGAAGATGCTGAACCCAAAGAGGGAGACACCTGAGGATCCAACCCCCCTTCCCCCCCCAGCAGCAGGATTAGACAAGGAGGCAGCTCCTCATCAAGCTCCCTTGTGACAAGGCCCAGGGGAGAATAGGGAGATTCCCAAGGGCGGGTGCTTGGCATGAGTGAGCATCGTGCCGTACAACCAAGAGCCCCAGCTAGGGACTCATGTACCCTCCCCGCACCCGAGGATGCGCGGGGCCCTGCCCCTCCCCCAGGATGGCAAGAGCCCTAGATAGCCCCTCCCTCCAGGAGAGGGGGAGCCCTAAACGGCCCTATCCCATTAAAGTTACAGGCCCCGCGTCGCGCGATTCTGGGCTTCTCCCCGCCTCCGGGATTCGAACCTACGCCCCCAAGGCGGCGCGTCGCGAGCACGCACCTGGGCGCGCTGCCTCCCCCGCCCGACTCTGCCAAAACCGAGGCCAGAGGGTTGTAACGACCGGTCGTGGACCGGTCGTGAGCCGCTCCCCTCCCCCCCCAGCTATGAGGTCACAGCGGTCTTTAGCCAACCGCAGCGTACCCCTGCGACTGTAATTTGCATATCCGCGTCCTGAGCCCAACCGCGCGGAGAAAGGAGCCGCCAGACCTACTCCCACCCTAACCGTCCCTCTGTGAAATCTGCATACGGATGCCTCGCGCCGGGTCACGACCGTGCCGTAGTAGCTTCTGCCCCACGAGTGACGAAAGCATGAGAAGGGCGGAGCTAAGAAGCAGCAGCCAGTAGGGGGACTGGGTGGGCGTTACCCGTTCCAGGCTCGAGCCCTCCCCTCGGAGGGGGCGGAGCCAGGGAAAGCAGCCTCCAGTAAGGAGGCTGGGTGGGCGTGGCCGGTGCTAGGCGGTGCCCCGCCCCCCGGCGGTGAGGGGATGTTCCGCGGCGGCGGGGGCTGCGCGGGGTCCCGATGGTGTGAGGCGGCTCGGGGAGCCGCTATGAACGGGGCGGCCCCTCAGCTCTTTGACCCCAAGGAGCGTGTGCTGAAGCTGGGCGAGAGCTTCGAGAAGCAGCCGCGCTGCGCCTTCCACACCGTCCGCTGTGAGTCAGGGGGTCTCCCGTCGCGCTGGTCGGGGGGGCAGCGGGGGCGGGTCTGGGCGCTAGGTGCTTGATCCTCTCGGAGTGAATCACCTCCCCCACGCCCGCGGGCCTGGCTGGTCATATTTCCCAGGGGAGGTCAGCATCCCCCTCCCCCCGCCTGACTGGTCGTATCTGGGGGAGATCAGCACCCCCCGTGCAATCCCCTCGGGCCTGACACCGCCTGGCTAGTCACACCCTGGGGAGCTCAGAGTCCTCCTGGCACCCCTGTGACCCCCCTCCCCTAGGGGCATGGCACCGCCTGGCTGGCCATACCCCCAGCACCCCTGTAACACCCCCCCCCCCAGCATGGCACCGCCTGGCTGGCCATACCCCCAGCACCCCTGTAACACCCCCCCCCAGCATGGCACCGCCTGGCTGGCCATACCCCCAGCACCCCTGTAACACCCCCCCATTGTCATGGCGCTGCCTGGCTGGCCATACCCCCAGCATCCCTGTAACACCCCCCGGCATGGTACCGCCTGGCTGGTCACGCCCCAGGGGAGATCAGAATTCCCCCAGTGCCTCTATGACTCCTCCTGGGGCATGGCCCTGTCTGGCTGGTCACACCCCAGGGGAGATCAGAATTCCCCCAGTGCCTCTATGACTCCTCCTGGGGCATGGCCCCGTCTGGCTGGTCACACTCCAGGGGAGATCTGAATCCCTCTGGCATCCCTGTGCGTCCTCCCCTGGGGTATGGCAACGCGTGGCTGGTCATACCCCCAGCACCCTTGTAATCCCCTCTCCCCCGGGGCATGGCACCACCTGGCTGGTCACACCCCCAGCACCTCTGTAACCTCCCTTCCCTGGGCATGTAATTACCTGGCTGGTCACACCCCAGGGGAGGTCAGCATCCCCCCAGCACCCCTGTGATTCCCCACTCCCCCATGGGTATGTCACTGGCTAGCTGGCCATACTCCAGGGAAAATCAGGACCCCCCTCTTGGCACCCTTATAACTCCCCACAGACATGGCACTGCCTGGCTGGTCATACCTCAGTGGAAATCAGAACCCCTCCCGACACCCCTGTAACCTCTACACTTGTCTGTCTATGTTGTATAAGTGCCCTCTGTGCTGGCAGATGGAGTCGAAGGAGATGAACTTGATAGTGGTTGCAGATGGCTCCTTCTTTGGGTTGAGAGATGGCGCAGTAGATGGAGAGGCAGATGCGAGGAGCAGGGGTTAATCTCCCTTACCCTGGCATTTTCCTGTTGTGAGGTTGAGAGTGATGGTAGGGTAGATCAGGAGTTGAGGAGATGAAGTCATTGGGGCTGATGGGTGGAGTTAGAGTAGGGGAACAGGCTGCTGTTGGTGACTGGGAGAAAGAGAAAATGGTGATGGGGCAGAAGGAGAGCATGTTGGATCTTTTCGAACTTGCTTTTGAAAAAGTTGGCATGATGCAGCATGGAGAGCGAGGAGGGCACAGGGTGAGGGCTTTGGATAGGAATCAAATGTGGCAAAGCTACTGCACTCTTTGTTTGTATTATGGTAACACCTAGAGCCTCTGACTAACATCAGGGCCCCATTGAGGTAGACGCTGTACAGACATTTGGTAAGAAACCGTTCCTACCCAGCAGAGCTGACAGTCCAAACAGAAAGAATAAGAGAAAGGGATTTAACATAGAACCATGAGATGTAGAACTGAGGCACAGAAAAATGAAGAGACTTTCCTGAGGTTATACAGGGAGTCTGTGGCAGAGCTGGGAATTGAACCTAGGTGTCTCAAATCCAAATCCAGTGTCTTGAATACAAAACCATACAGTTCACAGCAGGTTGCAGTTATTGCTCATGAGAGACTCCGAGCTAGACTAATGAGCAGATGTGTTGCTGGTAAAGTTTGGGGTAAAGTTCACACAGTGCCTGCCTTCTTCATCTAGTTCTTCCTTTTATGTATACTAAATTCATGTACCATGCATTAAGGTATATTTTGGGAAACAATAATGTCTTGGCACAATGCTACAAAAATCTGAGTTTGGGGTGAAGCTCTGCCCTTCGCCTTGGCAGGGCTCTCAACAGTCAAAGATTAAAGGCAATATTGCTCTCAAAGCTAGTGTGCCCTTCCTGAGTACATAATAACTACTATCCTGGGAGGTGTGTTCTCACAGATTCTGAAGGTATCTAGGAAACAAATGCTGTTAGGATTATGGTTCTGATAATTTAGGGCTGCAGCTTTTGTTCTGCTGTCTCATTATTTATAGAATGATCCCCAAGGTTCCGTGTCTCACATGTTCTCTGGAGATTATCCTGTGTGCTCTCATACAGTGAGATGAGATAGATAATGTATATTCTGTGAGCAAGTGGAATCATATTTAATAAAGTTGGCCACATCTTTGAGGAGGAAGGTGTGAGAGGAACCTAAAAGCTGTGAGTGTATTTAAAGGGGTGCTGTAACTTGCAATCAGTTCAGTATATATATAAAAAAAGTAGTAGTAAAAATAGGCTCTAGTACTACACCTGCCTTTAAGTTTTCCTGCTGACTTTTGTGGTTTTACAATCTCTTTTTTCTGTTTCAAAATGTTTTTCTTTCCTGACACTCTGCGAAGAAAGACACAAGGAAATCAGCAAAACTGACAGTGCTATCAAATGCACAAAATAAACAGAAAAGCCATATTTTCTCTAACCTTTGTTATTGTAATCTTAGCTTGTACACTTCTTGCGAGTAGGTAAACTGGACATTTATTTAGTTAGCCATTTCTGAAAAGATTGGCCAAAATGCTAATTACCCAGCAGCACCAACTGCAGACCGGCATAATCTCATTCTTACCACAAGAAGGACCAGAACTGTGGTGCTTAGCTCTGTAAGGTGCTGCTAACAGGAGCTTGAGACCGTTGGCGCTTGTTTAGGACCTTGGAAATAAATTATGCTAGTTTGGTAACAATCATTAGCAGACCTTGTTGGCAGGGCTGACAACTCTGATGAAACAAACTAATGTTCATCTCTAATTGTCCAGCTCTTTGAAACATGCAAAGAGGGGAAATCCATATCTGCACAAATGGAGACATTGTTAGGTTTCTAAGAATGACTGCTAATAAAGGAGATTAAAATAAAATAAGTATATGATGGTGGCTTTTAACAATTCCATTTTAGAGAGAAATATATGTACTTAAAAATAAAAACAACCATCACAACCTTGCTAGTCCATATGGTTTTGCCTTTGATGCTGTTAATACAGTAAGAGCATGCTATAGTTAGGGCTGCATATGTATTTCCAGTCTACTCTCCTGTTTTTAGTCACAGCTGTATGCAACTTCCATTTTTTGGGCTGAAGTTTTCCAGGGTTGGTCTCAACCCAAAAGTAATTCTGTGGCTTTTTTGGAGGGTTTTTCTTTAAGTATTAGCAAACTAGTTTGGCCATTTTTTGAACGTGAGATGAACAGGAGAAACTTTCCTTATTAAACAAAATCTTTCAACTTTTTTTGAAGAGCTCCAACACCAAAACTTGATGAAATTTAGGTTGAATATCAGGAAAACCACCTTCACTATGAGCTCTATGGCTTATGGAAAAATCTGCTAAGGGAATGGTGGATTCTGCACTAGCAAAGCTACTACGTCGTTGATTTTAAATGCCCCCCAAACTCACCACCTTTAGATTTTATGAAATGTGTGTCAGTATTTAAGGGACTCATGAAAATCGGTGTTTTTTTAATTTGTAGATGACTTCAAGCCTGCATCTATTGATACATCCTCTGAAGGAGACCTTGAAGTTGGCAAAGGTGAACAGGTGACAATAACGCTGCCAAACATTGAGGTGAGGGCTGAATACCATTAGGGGATGGGAAAAGAAGAGGCTTCTCTTACTGAATCACCATATATGTTGAATATAGAAGTGTTTCACATTTCAGCATTTTCAGTTGGCTGTTGTTTCAAGCCTGTATGCATGTAGCTTTTAAAGCATTGGGACAGAAATAATCGCACCAGAAAATGCAGAATTACAAAGGTCAGGTAATTATGCTGTGACATTAAGTGAATTCACTATGCTGGAAATATGCTGTAATTGACAACCCTAAAATTCTCTGTCTATAAAACAAGTACAGCACGGACACTGGCTGCTGTGCAACCTTCCCTTTGCTGCATTGACATTATGGCACAATCCCAAAGGAGTAGGAGTGCACGCACCACCACTGGGGAGGAGAATTCAGCCTCCTGTAATCCCAGATTGCTTTTCTGATATTGCCAACAAGCATTCTAGTTTTGGCAGTAGTTTTGTGATGTTTGTGCCTGTTTGTTAAAAACTGGATTGAGATTACTGGTTTATTTCAAACTGGCTGGGTGAAATCAAGGCCACATTGAAGTCAATGGCAAAACTTCCAGTGGCTTCAGTAGAGCCAGGATTTCACCCCTAGTTACTACTAATCTGAGTTTAACTTGAATTAGTTGGTAACAGATTTTAAAAGGCTAGAAATGATCAGTTACAATGAACTTTTCATACTGTAAAGGCTCATTTTGTGTTTATACAAATAAGTCTATTGAAATAATGCTAATTAGATATTTTTTCCAATTTAAATAGGGTTCAACTCCACCAGTAACAGTTTTCAAGGGCTCCAAGAAGCCTTATCTAAAGGAATGTATCTTAATTATCAATCATGACACTGGAGAATGTCGACTAGAGAAACTGAGCAGTAACATCACTGTGAAGAAAACCAGGTAGGTGGTTTACAAAAGAAACTGCTATGTCCTTAACTCATTATGAAAATGGTTTAGGGCTGGTCTACATGGTCTTTTGGGTGCACACCAGGTGGGGTGTAAATTCTACTGCACACCAACATGTTGTGCATTAACTGGCCACGTGGACCCTAGTGCACATGCATTTAGCATGGTTTGAAACAGGACTATGTCAACACACAGTAGAGAACTTTTATTGTGCAGTAGGGACCATATGGCCACTTAGTGCACAACTCACAGGTGTGCACTAGAATTTACACCCTCGCTGGTGTGCACCAAGACACCATGTAGACAAGCCCTTAGAAATAGCTGAAAGTCTAAATTGGGATACATACCAACTATTCTTAGCTTTTAGCAAAATTTCACTTTTTCAAACATGGTCCTTCCAAAAACCTACCCTTGTTCAATGGAATGAAAAAGCATGTCATTATTATTCTCAAAAAATAACTTTATAGCTTTCAAGTCTAGGCTGGTAGGGTGGGTTTTGAACAGAAACATTGCATATCCTTGCAAGAGACAATAACTGTTTTCTCATAGTAAGTTTGGAAAATAGCTTTTTGCTACACAAATGAAATTGTTTGCTGCCATTTTCTGACTTCGAACTGTGTAAATAAAATAGCATAAATTCTTGTGAAAGGGTTTAGCAAAATGTTGAGGACCCATTCTCCTCCTACTGAGTATGTAATTCCCATTAACGCACATTCTGATGCTATGTCCACATATAAGTCACTTCCACTAGCATTCTAATGAAGTGTTAGTGAATGACTGAAGAAAATGTGAAACAGCATAGTAGAGGATCGGGTCAAAGGGCCAATATGAATGGCATGTTGTACATCAAAAGAATAGTACTCACTGCACCTATATGTTGCTATATGCCAATGTAGTAGTGCAGTGTTTCTCAAATGGTGGGTCCCAAGAAGGTTCTAGATAGGTTGCCATATCCAGGGGCTGGATTAATCTATCACTGGGCCCTGGCCTAGGCAGATATACACTTCTCCCAGCCTGGTGTGGAGGGGAAGCCTGGTGGTGTGGGAAGGGCCATCGGGCCAAACTTGAACAGCACTGTGATCCCATGTGTCAGGTCACAACGCCAGGAGTAGGCAGCTGGTTCTGGTCCCACAGGACAGGAGCCATCATTGTAGAGTGAGTGTGGGGTGGGCTCGCTCTCCAGCCCCCCTTCTCCCAAGGCCTTCCCTCTCTACTGGGCTGCACCAAGCCAGAAGTATGGTTGTGGTGTGCTGGGATGGAGGGTGCATATATGTAATAGTGGGTCACAAAAAAAGACAAAATGCAGTTGGTGGATACCTTGTTAAAAAGTGTGGGAACCACTGTAATAGTGTACTTTGAAATTTAAAACTGTAGTGATACAGTTAAGAAAAACATAATAGTTTCACACACAGCTTAGACTGTGTGTTTTTATTTTGTTTAAATATTGTTCTCTGGAATCAATTACAATTTTTCACCCTGTCATACAGAGCTGAAGGAAGCAGTAAGGTTCAATCTCGTATTGAGCAGCAACAGCAGCAAATGCGAAATGCCAGTAAGACTCCAAACAATGTTAAAAATTCTCCACCAAAAGAAAAGATGTCTCCATCTTCTCCTATGGACGACATTGAGAGAGGTAAACTGCAACTGTGTCACTTAGTATTTCAGAAATTTTGCAGGCTTACATTATAAATAGAGCCAAGGGTTTTTTGAATGAAGTGCACACTAGAAGCTGTTACATGGGCAATGTTCTCTAAAGTTTAATGGATGTCTTGACAAGAGTAGTAATCTAAAAGTATTTGAAACCACCTAGGATTGAGAATCAAATCAATTCTTAGTCTTATGAAGGTCATGATTAGCATTGCTTTAGTTCTCACTGAGTCCTCCCACTGCTGCTGTCTTAAGCTACAGGCTCAATTGTAGGATTGTGGCACTGAAGCCAAATCAGCCAGTCCTCCACTTCTTCCTCACTTCACCCTTCCCTCCTCATTCTTTGTCCTTTGCATACAGCAAATCTTTGGTTAAAATGCTTTATAACTCTTTTAGTTTTTAATAAAACTCTAAATTTGTATGAGTTCATTATCATGTAAATCTAGTCAGAGAGATTCAAATAGCACCCTACTTTTCCAAATCAGATCAGACCTGTAGAAGTGGTTCCCTATATGGTAAGAGACAACTGAACACTTACATAAATCCCATCCTTGAAAATAATGCCACATGCTATGTTCTTGGGAGACTGTTTCGGTAGGAACCTTTGGATTTAATTCAGTAGGAGACATACTTTATTCCCTTTTTGTGGAGGGGGGAGAAAAGCAGGTGTTAATCGCTTGCTGTATGAACACTAACAGGTGGTAGCTTTATTGATCTGAATTGATATTGGCTCTCAAGGGTGCTCTGGATTCTTTTAAACAGTTTTTTCCCCCAGATATCTCATTATGCAGATGTCTTTTCTTTGTGATTTAGACAAACTTTGACCAGAGTGTCTTACTCCACAAAAAGGCAATTAAAAGTACCTAAGGCTGCAAAAGAAACAAAGTGTGCTCAAGTGCATGAGAAACCTGAGACTTTTTCTCCATGGCTTGTTTGTTTTGTTTAGAACCTGTTCTGAGTGCGTCACCAAGACTAACATATCCCAAAACCCTGTCCCTATGTGCTGCCAATCAGATTTATTTGTTTGGCCACAGTAAATTGTGTGCTGGGGTCTGGGTGGTTTCCTGCTAGCTATTCTAAATTCTTTCCAGACCTATAAAAAGAATCAACAAGGATTTAATGAAGCTGTTCCATAATTTTAAAATATGGGCAATCGCTGCAGGTATCCCACAATGCTTAATTTGGGATTGAGAACAATGAATGTCTAGACAAACATGTACATGTTGTTTATAATGCCAAAATTGCTGCCAGCCGTTGCTGCTGCACCTTCAGATGTTCCACTGACCAATTCCTTTTTTCACTATCTGTCCCTTGAGTCTAAGTTGAGTTATTGACTCCTGTAAGACATCTGTAGAGGTGTTAAACAAAGCCTGAAAAAAGAGACTTACTAATCAGAGACAGATATTAAGGGTAAGTTAGGTTGTGCTGCCCACTGAAGTGTAGGGGGCAGCACCTTAGCTGGCAGCCTTATCTGAACCCTAATGCATCTCTGCTCTGAAAAGCATGTGGGCTAAAAGTAAGACAGCAAGGAGTGTAGGAGAGGAATACAGCATACAAGTAGGGTGATCAGTTTGCTTGTGTCCCACACTTCACTTATGACTTGTAATAATATTGTGACATTCACTACAGTCACTTGCTTGTGCAGTGCTTCCCTTGTTGCCATCTCCTTTAAACTCTGAGACACCTCTTGCTTTGTTTCTCAATTATTCTACATCTTCTTTTCAGAGCTAAAGGCCGAGGCTAGTGTCATGGACCAGATGAGTAGCTCTGATAGTTCGTCCGAATCAAGAAGTTCATCATCTTCTTCATCCAGCAGTGAAAATAGTTCTAGTGATTCAGAAGATGAGGGAGCTAAGCCGTCTCTGCCTATGTCAATGCCGTACTTGCAGCCACAGCCTGCTATGTCTGCCATACCACAACAGGCTATCCGTGACATGGATGCCAGTCATAACAAATCTCAAGAGAGCGGTGGCCATATGATGAATACACTAAGTAAGTACAGAAGACAGTGCTCTAAGAAAAGAACAATCTCATGCTTTAGGAATCTAAAAGAAAACCAGAGACTCTGTAACTATGTCTCTATTGTAATTAAAATTGTGGGAAGAGATGCTGGGGTTTCATTGTTCAGTTGAGTTCTGAATTAGAAGTTGGGCTAAAAGTTACTTGACCATCAGAGCTATTAAATTAAAGCTGATGCAGTTTAAAATATGTCATAGGCCATACTGGCTTCCTCCCAATTGCATACATTGGGACTATAGAACAGTAATTTGTGTTGAAAATGCTTGAACGGCTTAGGCACTCCCAAAACATATGTGTATGATTTCCGGAGTAGATGATACTGGAATATTATCCTGATAATACTCAGTTACAAGAGGGGGTTATCCTAATCCAGTGGTTTTCAGCCAGGGGTACATGTACCTCTGGGGATCTGCAGAGGTCTTCCAAGGGGTACATCAACTCATCTAGATATTTGCCTAGTTTTACAGCAGGCTACATAAAAAGCACTAGCAAAGTCAGTACAAACAGACCTGTTTATACTGCTCTGTATGCTATACACTGAAATGTAAGTACAATATTTATATTCAGATTTATTTTATGATTATATGGTAAAATGAGAAAGTCAGCAATTTTTCAGTAATAGTGTGCTGTGATACTTTTTATTTGTATGTCTGATTTTGTAAGCAAGTAGGTGAAACTTGGGGGTACGTAAGACAAATCAGACTCCTGAAAGGGGTACAGTACTCTGGAAAGATTGAGAGCCACTGTCCTAACCCACTCAGAAGTCTTGTGATTCATGGAGGCTTTTCTAACCTACAAGGTGCCAGTCCCCTCCTATGTATGTAGGGAAGGGAGGGTGTTTCATACTTTTCCCATGTTGAAGGGATGGAAGGATACCTACAGCCAAAACTAATTCACAGTGTTTTGATTGAAGAAAATTATGACAAATTTAAGATATTTAAAGTACAACTGGGATTTTTTAAATATATATTGTTGCCTAGAAAGAAGAGTATCACTGGTTTGAACAGTAGCAAGCAACCACCTATGTAAAGGTCTTTAAACTTAGCCCCAAAAGAAACCGGGCCTGGTTTTTCAGAATTGATGAGCACCCACCGCTGCTGTTTGAAAACAAAGCCATACTTTTAATTGCGTGCCTAACTTCAGGCTCACAAGTTTGGAAAAACTTGGTCATAGGCCCTAATTTACATAGTGATAATATATACTGAAGTTTTTTGACAGCTTACACTGATTATAGTGAAAATATCTCATACACAATATATATGTCCTCTTGTGCTTCACTATTATAAGGAATTAAAACTGGTAACAAGGTAGTTGTATATTGTGATGATGTAGCTAAGCTTACAATCAGGTTCTGTTATTAGCCTTATTTCCACATACCACCTCCTTCACAGGAATAAGATTAGACTGAAAACCTCTGATTATTGTGCAAGAGGACTAAATTTTTTAGTTTAACTTCCATGGCCTAAAGCAAATAGGCTTCATATTACAATCAGTATATCTTTAGAAAGTTCCATATACATCAGTCCCTTTGCTCAGACATGGAAATACTTTCAAACTTGCCATTTTACACACATTTAGAAAAAAACACTTTTGAGAATAAAATGAACCATCTTAGTGACTAATGGCTAGTTCACAGCTGCAAAGCTCCCATTGAAAGATTTACGTCCAAGTACAGGTGGCTGATGCCACCAGTTAAAACTGTCATAATGAAACACCCTGATGTCTTAAACTTGCAGAAATACCAAAACCACAGCAAGGCGCCCAGGAACCCTGTGGGACTTAAGAGCTCTGCAGGGAGGGAGGTGGGTCCTCGGACCCTTGTGAGCGGTCTAAAACTTCATGGTGATTTAGCTATAAACCTGCTTAGAATTTTGCTCTAATCCAGTTTACCTCTGTTATATAGGGCTGGTCTACACTGGGGGGGGGCGGGAAATCGATCCAAGATACACAACTTCAGCTACGCGAATAGCGTAGCTGAAGTCGAAGTATCTTGGATCGAATTACCTGAGGTTCAGATGGCGCAGGATCAATGGCCGTGGCTCCCCCGTCGACTGCGCTACCGCCGCTCGCTCTGGTGGAGTTCCGGAGTCAACAGTGAGCGCGTTCGGGGATCGATATATCGCGTCTTAACGAGACGCGATATATCGATCCCGGATAAATTGATTGCTACCCGCCGATACGGGTAACTGACAGTACTTTATGTATAGTTGCTTTCATTAGTTGCTTTCCTATTTGTTTAGGCATTTCACCCAGCAACAAGGGGAGAGAGATTCTTTCCATGTTTCCTTTTTTTTTAATAAAGGAAAATGCAGTTGCATAACCACCAATTTGGCAGAGGAATAGAAGGGCTGATGCAGTATTTGAAATTACATCTAACTCATTTAAAAAAAATATAGATTTGCTATTGACAGTATCCCTTTAACCTCTATCTTATATGTAGGAGATGGTGGAGGGGAGTGGGAGAAAAACTGCTTGTCAAGTTGAAAAAAAATAGCAGGGAGAACTTATTTTCTGTTATGTAGACCGCTGTTGCAAGCCCTGGATAGTCACTTTTCTTGTGTCCCATTTTAAAATAACTCCCATTTAATTTTTTGGTGACAGCATACATAAATATTTGCTTTGATCTTTTGTTTGCTGTCTTGCTCCACATCCTGATTATTTTTTTGAAAAGGTGCATCAAACAGCTTGTTCTCACCTTGATTTGGAAACTGCTTTGCTCTCAGACAGATCCAAGAGGCATTTAGATACATGCAAACAACAATAACTCGTATCCTATTGTTTTTTTGTTTTTTTATGAAACTGCATTTCCCAGCAGCTTCCCTGCTGATCAGGTATCAGAAGGTGGATGGGAAGCTAGCTAGTCCGCTGTGGCCTGCTTGCACTAATTCCCATACACAAACTCATTCAATCTGGTGGGTTAAGTGTGAGTAATGCAGGGCTTTCAAAGGTCACAGATAAGTGATGTAGCCCTAAGATTCCCATTCCAGTAGTTAAGACAACAGATTAGAGTTTAGACATATTAAATGTTTTGGTGTTAAATTCCTAATAGAAAATACTGGATGGGTGAAAAAAGAACTTTTCTTGATGGAAAACTAGTCTGTTTAATGGAACTAATACAATGACTTTATCTTCTATTTTAGGAAATGACTTGCTGCTGAGTGAATCTGGAAGTGACAGTGATGACTGAACAAGATTTTGGCCTTAATAAAGATGCATCACCTCTCTTTGCTAAAGCTGTCATAGCATCTATTTTGCACTAAGATTAGATTACCCAAGATTGAAATGAATGTCCTCAATTTTTGGAAATAGAGACATCTTAATTTTCTACTGGCACATCAGGTCTATGGTACAGCAGCACTCATGTCTAATCACTGCTCTGGGTACTTGTTTGTCTCTTCCAAATTACTGTATTACAGTATCGGTTCTTATGAACGGATTCTGATTTTTGCCTCAACCACCTGTTGTACTTGAAACTGACTTATAACAGCTAGTTACTTTATATAATAGATATGGGAATGGGGAAATTTCTAGTATTTATGGAGGCAAGTTTCCCTCCTGTCCTTACAGTTTAGTGCTGATTTCATTAACTTTTTTTTTTTTTGAGAGGGATGGAAGGAAGAACAGCTGAGATCTGCTGTGTAAGCTACGTTGTTGTTCTGTTCACAGTTCATAATTTTAAGGAAACTGCTGAATGGTATGGTCCACTCTTGCAGTTACAGTTTACGACACATCATTGAATTTTTAGTTTCATTGTATTATAGGACTTTTTATATTTCTGAGCCTTACGTCTCTGAAGGGAACTCGTCCTTTTCCCTGCCTTTACTTGGACCAGCTGGACTCCTTACAGCCTCTTCCTATCTGTATTTAGAGAACTACAAAGACAGCAATGAGTTTCCTTCATTTAATTCTGTAACTGAAATCATAGAATTCCTTTCTAGGAGTTTAATACAATTAATTTAATAAAGCAATATTATTTATAATTTTAATGGGACTGATTGTTATGATTATGAGAATTCTTAACAAAAGGTAACATGGACTGAATTTTCTTTATGTCGTAGCCTTACCAGTGAGCTAACATTTAAATTAGAGAGCGGTATACAAGTAAGTATGAAGTCTAAAATGTCTAGAAAACAACAAGAAGACAGAATCGCCACATTGGCATCTTACCCATTTGTATATTATAAGGCCAGAAAGAACCACACGTTTTAGAATGGCAGATGATATGCACAGTTTATCTAAGTTGCCAAATGTATAGATGTAGGAGATAGCCATAAGAAACATCAGGCAGAGAAGTACTATAAACAACTGACTCAGTGATTACAATATTGATACTGTGCGCTGATAATTTCTCATAGTGTGTGCCATGAGTGTGATCAGTGTATGCTATTGTATCTTATTTGAAGGAGGGAGGAAAGAATCTGCATGTCCAGTCTTCTTATAGTTGAATATGTGTTCATGCTTGTTGAATACCTTCTTTAAAAGCCCTGAAAAATCTGTAGTAAGAGGTTCAGAATCCCACCCTCTATCTACAAAACTGTCCTTGGTGCTAGCCACGTTAAATATGGCAAATGTGTGTGGAATATACTTTGACAAGACAAGTCAAATGAAATCTCTCTTCTCTGTCAGACTAAGAGATGACTTTCAACCACAGCCCCATGACTACATAATGGGGTAAAATTCCATATGTAAACCTAGACCTATTGTGAAGTGAAATGCACATTCAGTTCACATACACCATATATCTTATTAGTGCAGGGGTCTTAAATTGCTGGGAGCGAGTATCAACTCATGGGTGCTCTGTGGCAGGATTGTTAAGGAGTCATATGTAGGTCTACCACTTACAAGTGGACTTCTGCAGTGTTGCCAGCAGATGCTTAAGAATTAGTAGCAGTGTTTTCTTGCACTGAATTCTTCTACCTCTTCCCCACACCAATCTTATCTTCCTTTGCTCCTCTATTAGATCATATATTGCTCATCTTCTTGGCCTACCGTAGGTAGAGGCATTGCTCTCCATTTGTACAGCATGCTGAAGTTTACTAGGTGGGTTAGGGATTGTTGAAAAGAAGATAACCATGATCCTTACCCTGAGGATCTTACCCTCTGTCTTTGTAAAATTTTTGATGTATGTCTACACTGCACCTGGAAGTGAGTCTCCCAGCACAGGTCTACAGACTTGTATTGGTGGGACTTGCACTAATGCGCTAAAACTAGCTGTGTAAATGTGGCTCAGACTGGAGTTTGGATAGGTGGGCCTTCACAGCTGAGCTCTGGCGCAAGCTGCAATGTCAAAGCAATGTCTACACAGCCATTTTTAGTGCGCTAGCATGAGCCCCACTAACACAAGTCATGGACCTGGGCTGGGAGGCTTGTTCCCAGATGTAGTGTAGACATATCCTGAGTGATAGCAAATCATGGCAGGGCAGGGCAGCAGAGGGTTACTGGATTCACTTGAGAGGGAAAGAACATAAGAACGGCCATACTGGGTCAGACCAAAGGTCCATCTAGCCCTGTGTTCTGACAGTGGCCAATGCCAGGTGCCCCAGAGGGAATGAACAGAACAGGTAATCATCAAGTGATCCATTCTTTGTCGCCCATTCCCAGCTTCTGGCAAACAAAGGCTAGGGACACCATCCCTGCCCATCCTGGCTAATAGCCATTGATTGATCTATCCTCCATGAATTTATCTAGTTCTTTTTTGATCCCTCTTATAATCTTGGCCTTCCGACCATCCTCTGGCAAGGAATTCCACAGGTTGACTGTGTGTTGTGTGAAAAAATACTTCATTTTATTTGTTTTAAACCTGTTGCCTATTAATTTCATTTGGTGACCCCTAGTTCTTGTGTTATGAGGAGTAAATAACAATTCCTTATTTACTTTCTCCATACCAGTCATTATTTTATAGACCTCTATCATATCCCCCCTTAGTCATCTCTTTTCCAAGCTGAAAAGTCCCAGTCTTATTTATCTCTCCTCATATGGCAGCCATTCTATACCCCTGATCATTTTTGTTGCCCTTTTCTGAACCTTTTCCAAGTCCAATACATCTTTTTTGAGATGTGGTGACCACATCTGCACGCGGTATTCAAGATGTGGGCGTACCATAGATTTATATAGACACACTATAATATTTTCTGTGTTCTTCTCTATCCCTTTCTTAATTATTCCCAACATTCTGTTTACTTTTTTCACTGCCGCTCCACATTGATGGATGTTTTCAGAGAACTATGCACAATGACTCCAAGATCTTTCTTGAGTGGTAACAGCTAATTTAGACCCCATCAATGTATATGTATAGTTGGGATTATTTTTTCTAATGTGCATTACTTTGCATTTATCAACATTGAATTTCATCTGCCATTTTGTTGCCCAGTCACCCAGTTTTGAGAGGTCCTTTTGTAGCTCTTCGCAGTCTGCTTGGGACTTAATTATCTTGTGTAGTTTTGTATCATCAGCCTATTTTGCCACCTCACTGTTTACCCCTTTTTCCAGATCATTTATGAATATGTTGAATAGGACTGATCCCACTACAGACCCCTGGGGGCAGGGCTGGCTTTAGGCCAATTCCCCCGAATCAGGCCCCGCGCCCTAAAGAAGAGCGCCTAACTTAGGCACCTTTTTAATTTTTTTACTCACCAGGTGGCGGTCCGGGTCTTCAGCGGCATTTCGGCGGCGGGTCCTTCAGTGCTGCAGAAGACCCAGACCACCGCTGGGTATTTGAATCGGGCCCCGCACTTACTGAAGCCGGCCCTGCCTGGGGGACACCACAGTTTACCTCTCTCCATTCTGAAAACTGACTACTTATTCCTACCCTTTGTTTCCTATCTTGTAACCAGTTACCAATCCATGGGAGGACTTTTCCTCTTATCCATGACTGCTTACTTTGCTTAAGTGCTTTTGGTCAGGGACCTTGTCAAAGGCTTTCTGAAAATCTAAGTACTCTATAGCCACTGGATCCCCTTTGTCTACATGCTTGTTGACCCCCCTCAAAGAATTGTAGTAGATTGGTGTGGCATGATTTCCCTTCACAAAAACCATGTTGACTCTTCCCTAACAAATTATGTTCATCTGTGTGTCTGACAATTTTGTTTACTATAATTTTAAACAGTTTGCCTGGTACCGAAGTCAAGCTTACCGGCCTGTAATTGCTGGGGGTCAATTCTGGAGCCTTTTTTAAAAATTGGCATCACATTAGCTATCCTCCAGTCATTTGGTACAGAAGCTGATTTAAATGATGGATTACGGACTACAGTTAGTAGTCCTGCAATTTCACATTGAGTTCCTTCAGAACTCTTGTCTGAATATCATCTGGTCCTGAAAGGGCTGCTAAGCAGCCAGAAGTGGTGAAGCTGTCTTCAGGGTATAGCAGTGTTTGTGTTTCCCTCAATCCTAGAATGTCCCAGGACCAAAAAAGCAGCAAATAAATGTGTGGGGAGAAGAATATAAATCATCACTAGGAATGTGATGAGAAGGGGCAAGACAGTCAAGGAGAACTTATTCATAAAAGGTGGGGGGATGCTTCCTTTCAGTTGCCATAGGTCATGTGAAGCTTTCTAGTTCTTTATGTTCAGATGGTAAGAGAACAACCTAAAATGAACCAGAATGTTTGCACTTTTCTACTCTGCTCAGTTGTAGGTGGGTCTCCAGCAACTCTAAACCCTACGTGCTTATTTCAGAAATTGTCCTTTGAGGAATATTTTGCAATATTGGCAATGTTGCGAGAGAAGCGTCCTCTCTCTGGCAACTGCTGTGAATGAAAGCTGCTAGCTCAGAACAACTAATGTGAGATGCTACAGATAAAATACTTCAGGGTAGTAGACCAGCAGGACTGGCGTGGCTCTGTGCCAGCCCAAACCAGAAAGGAGAATGAAAAGGAAGCGAATGATAAGCCCAAGCTGCAGACACAGAAATGAAGGCTAATTCTCTTACCCCCTCCAACAATTTTTTTGCACTCTACCCTTCAAGCCGAAGTGGACTACTCTCTGTTGGGCTGTATGAAAGTTGTGCTTTTTGTGGGGGAATGTTAGTTTTGTGGCTGGCCCTGACTTAGGAGCTACTATCCAATTACTGAAAGGTACCAGACTAAGAAACTTGTCTGGCCACACCACAGCAAATACTAGTCTTCACTGTGTGCATGTGTTTTGTCATGTAATTGCTCCCTCCCTAGGCGTGCCCAAGGTAATTGCTCAGCTAGGAGTAGACTGTCTGGTTCAGCTGTTACAGCTGGTATTTCTAGCATTCACAGCAAATATAAAGAGTGAGAGGAGTTGCTTTTAAAGGCACATTGCTCTGATATAAATTGTGTGTATATATAGATGTTGGCTTATAATATCTCATTGTTTCTTATTTTCTCCATGTCTGTTGTAACTACATGTTCTACCCTAGCCCTTGATTCTGCAAACACCTTTGCACATGCTTAACTTTACCATCTAAGTAATCCCATTAACTTCAAAGTTCTTCATTCTTGAGATTGTTCATGGTAGTAAAGTTAAACATGCGCTAGTGTTTGCAGGATCTGGGCTTGAAAATGTAAGGTCTTTGGGGACAGAGACTGTCTTGGTTATGTTTTTGTTCAGTAACTAGCACAACGTGATATGGGGCTCTGAGGGCATGACCCCAATACAAATAAGCATGTGAGTTAGATACACCTCTACCTCAATATAACACTGTCCTCGGGAGCCAAAAAATCTTACCGCGTTATAGGTGAAACTGTTATATCCAACTTGCTTTGATCCACCGGAGTGTGCAGCCCCGCCCCCCCCGAGCACTGCTTTACCGCATTATATCCGAATTCGTGTTATATTGGGTCGCGTTATATCGGGGTAGAAG